TCTGAAATCCGCAAAATATCGAACACCGAGAAATTTTAAAATACAAAGCTTTTTCTTTCATAGCTGAATTAAATACCTCCATAATATGATTTATCATATTGATATTTTTACATATCCGTACATGTATATATAGAACTAAATCGCTAGAGAAAGTATGAATATATCAGCTACTGTTATAGCTGTTCATTAACAGGGCTATTTCTGTTACGTGTACACGATGAACATGATGTATATAACTAAGTGTTTTTTAATGTAAAATTGCATTTTTACAATGGTTTTGGTACTTTCGGCGAGTTATGATTGATATTAAAACAACACATCTGGAGCTGAAGTTGAGGTAAGATTCTTCTCACATAAAACTGTATTTCTTGTATTAAAAAATTAATGAAATTTTCACAGAATCAAAAAGACAATACTACTAAGTGATGGTATCAGTTAGATCAGTTTTGACCGTTTTATTAGGTCACCTGAGTAAACTCAGGTGACCTATTGCTATTCGTTTTCGCCCGTCGTCGTGCGTTAACATTTGAACATTTTCAGCTCCTTCTCTGCAACCACTGAACCAATTTCAACCAAATTTGGCATAAAGCCTCTATGGGTGAAGGGGAACAAAAATTGTGAATTTCATGATCCCTGACCCCCTGGGGGCCAAAACCACTAAAATTAATGCAATCTTTAAAAATCTTCTTCTTTACTCCTGGACATCAAGCAGACAAACTGTTTGTATATGATTGTAATTAGCAAGGGTGCCTCTACCAAAATTTTCAGATTCATGGCCCTTGGGTCAGGGGTTCTGGTGTTAGGGCGGGGCTAAATAAGTATATAGTGAAAATGCATTATTTCTTTGAAAATCTTATTCTCTGCTCCTGGGTATTAAATAAACCAAGTAAGTATATAGTTATGATGAGCAAGAGTGCCTCTACCAAAATTGTGAATTTTATGGCCCCAGGGTCAGGGGTTCTGATGTTAGGGCGGGGCTCTATTGATTATATAGTGAAAATGCATTAATTCTTTGAAAATCTTCTTCTCTGTTCCTAGGTATTAAATAAACTAACTAAGTGCATAGTTATGATAAGCATGGGTGCCTCTACTAAAAGTGTGAATTTTATGGCCCCAGGGTCAGGGGTTCTGATGTTAGGGCGGGGCTCTATTGATTATATAGTGAAAATGCATTAATTCTTTGAAAATCTTCTTCTCTGTTCCTAGGTATTAAATAAACTAAGTGCATAGTTATGATAAGCATGGGTGCCTCTACTAAAAGTGTGAATTTCATGGCCCTGGGGTCAGGAGTTCTGGTGTTAGGGCGGGGCTCTATTGATTATATAGTGAAAATACATGAATTCTTTGAAAATCTTTTTCTCTGCTCCTAGGTATTAAATAAACTAACTAAGTGCATAGTGATGATGAGCAAGAGAGCCTCTACCAAAATTGTGAATTTTATGGCCCCAGGGTCAGGGGTTCTGGTGGGGCTTTATTGATTACTTACTAGTGAAATTACATGAAATCTTTGAAAATGTTCTTCTCTGGTCCTAGGTTTTAAATAAACTAAGTACATAGTTATAATGAGCAAGAATGCCTGTTCCAAATTTGTGAATTTTTATGGCCCCAGGGTCAGGGGTTCTGGTGTTAGGGTGGGGCTCTGTATCGTGAAAATACATTAAATCTTTGAAAATTTTCTTCTCTGCTCCTGGATATTAAGCAGATGAACTACCTATATAGTTATGATAAGCAAGGGCCCTAATCTTCCAGAATTGTGAATTTCAAGGCCCCAGGGTCAGGGGTACCATAGAGGGGGGGGGGGGACTGTACTGAAAATGAATGAATTGCTTGAAATCTGCTCCTTGGTATTAATCAAATATTTTTGAAAAGCAAGGATGCCTTTTCAAGAATTGTGCAATGTGTGGATCTAGGCCTAAGGGTCAGGGGTTCATGTGTTGAAATGCATTTTTTTGTTCCCCTACCCTGCCTATGGGTATTAAGTAAACAAACTAAGCAACTGCAAAGTGTATTGGTATGATGATCAATGGTGCCTCTTTCAAAATTGTGAATGCCATAGCATCTGGCTTAAAACATGAATCAAATTCAATCACTGGAAAGTTGTTGCATAATGCTCAGGTGACCTATAAGGCCCATGGGACTCTTGTATTAGAATCAAGGTCAGGTCAAGGTCATAACCTTTTACCTGGTCATTAAAAATAAAAGTAACTGCATCCAATCATGCGATCTAGGATCTTCTATTTCAAAAGATTAAATGTTTTTCTTTTTGCATAAAAAGATATTACCATAAAGGGTCTATAAGACGAAATTACCAAATTGACACAAATAGTTTAACAAAAGTAGATTCTGGCTAATCATAATTTTCTCTATTTTTCTTAATTTTTTAGGATATTTAAGTTATTTTTATATGCGCCCTATATTTAAATCTTTCTTATTTTCACATATGGTAAAGAAGTCATATAGAGATACAAAAAGAAACAAAAAAAAAAGTTTTGACCGTTTACTAAGAGAGTAAAAACACTTTCTTCGGATTTTTGGCTCATATATGTACTTAGATTGGAAGCTTTTAAAAGCTAACATAATTGTAGTTTATTTGGAAAATCATATTTATTTGATATATTTTAAAAGTTTATCCCATTATTATTAATTTAGCTAAAATTTTTAAAAATTCTTCAAGTCTGTGATTGTGTAAAAATTGTAACTAAATTCGTTGTTCTATAATAATTTTGAGAGGCAGAAAAGAAAATATTTTCACCACCATTCCGCCAAAAATATAGTCCCTGCTACTTTTCGAACACAATTTAAATCTCTGACACCTAAATATATGAGACATATAAACAGATATACATTGAATATTTCATCTACTCAGAAACTAGAGAAGAATCCTACCTTAAGAGTAAATACCCACAGAATGTTTTGCTTCTGTTGTTGTACGTTAAGAACTTTTTATCAGTCATAGTCTAGAATGAGAATTCTCAATACGACAATTGACAACCCTAACTCTAACTCTGAAGTATTGTTCTACAAGCTGAATATTGTTAAGAACTTATAAAGAACTCTTTATCAGACATAGTCGAGAAAGTGACCCCAATGCAACATTAAAGTATTGTTTCCAAGCTGCATCTTGTCCCTCTCACTGGAGATAAGGATAAATGTCATGTTGTAAATTTTGCATTTACTGCCACCCGGTAATTTAAAATTTACAACATGACATAATGATGGATGGGCAAATTGCAAATTGCAAAGAAATTTTAATTTTTAAATATTTAAATGTTTCATTTAAAATACTTAAATGGAGGGCTTTTTCAAGTGCTTATGTTTACATTCCCTTTTATTCTCTGCCTGAATTATATTTTTCTAATAAATAGATAATGCTAGGTGACCTTTAACTACATAGCTGTAAAATCGAAAACAATAAAATTAATACTTTCAAATACGAATAGATTTTTTTCGACCTGTTTAAAAAGTATATTGTACCATTTTCAAGAAAAGATATAATTTGTAATATGAGGAGGAAATGAGCATTATAACTAGGTTTTTGTATGAGCTGTGCAAATAAGGAACCAACATTTTTACATATACGTAAAACATCAGTCAAGGCAACCCTTATATGGGGAAGTCACATCATGTGTCAAACAGCTGTCCTCAGGCACGTAGCATCGTTTTTGAAAGTGTGGGGGGGGGGCAGCCAGAGAATTCTTTTTACTAACCTGAAAAGTTGCTTAAAGTAAAAAGTTGCCGAAGTCGAAAATCCTATGGGGGGGGGGGGGGGGGGTATAGGGCAACTTTTTCCAAGGCCAACTTTTTTTTACTTCTAATTTTTTGGCATACAATACTACATTACCTTCATATCACTATACTGTGGTAAGAAGTGGGGGGGGGGGGGGGTGGCAACCAACCTTTCAATGGACATTTTCAATAGTAAAGGTAATGTTGGGAAAAAAGTGGGGGGCAGGCCCCCCTTCCCCCACCCCCGTTGCTACGTCCCTGGCTGCCTTTATTTAAGGCAGGTCCTTTTAATATATGTGTATGTTGTCCTTGATTATTATGCACCAACCCATATAATTCAATAAATTTCACTGATAAGTATATTGTCTCTCATTGTAAGCTTTTGAATCATTGCTCGGAAGAATCCTCCGCAAAAAAAAAAAAAAAAAAAAAAACAGTTGAAGAGAACCATTTTTTAAACACTCAAAAATATCTTAAATAAATTAGTTTTCAACTAATTTTTTTCTGTAAAAAAAACTTTTTGTTACGAACCTAAGTGTGATATTTATCATTTGAATCAGTACGCACTGAAATAGTTATGTTATAGGATATTATGTAGTAAAGAATGGAACTTAGAAACTGTTTGCCATTACGCAAAAAAATCATCTGTCAAGTAAATTTCTGAACAATAATTTCCTGTTTGCTCAAAAGTAAATTTAAACTATTAAAAATAAACTCGACGATTAAGATCATTAATCATCAAGTCATCTTTATCGTGTCAAAGCTACGAAGGTACGGGTACTCGGTTTTTAAGGCCTTGTCTAAAATTACCCATAATTTTTATTACAAAGCGCTGAGTGTTTGGTAATAGAACAGTTTCCAAATATCTTTTAGGTTGACCCGGCGGGGGTTTGAACTCACAACCTTCCGATCTCGGAGCAAAGGCTCTACCGACTTATTTAGGTGACGATCTTTTTTCTTTTCTTAAATAAATATGCTATTGTATAAAATATTTTTTATGTAACTTAATATAAATCTTATAGATTCAAAAAATAGAAATAGAAATATTTTGTGAAGTAACATATTTTTTTGATTAACGGAACAATGAGAAGAGGTTCATTCATTAGACATGGTCTTTGTACCATGAGCAAATACAAAATATCAATGTCATATGCTGATTGCATGACTATTATTCAATGTAAGGCCAATATTAAGCAAGTAATATATATTCCTGATTTCATATATTTACTGTAACATATACACCTGTCTACTGATTTTTCCGTTATTTCTCAATCATGACGAAGACAGACGGCAGATATGACCGGTCGACAGGGGATTCTCACTCCTCCATCGCATTAGATCCCACATTGTACTATTCAAGAGGTAAAGCGTTTTTCTCTGCTTCTGATTTTTTATTAGTTGGATGGACCTTAACTTGAATACCGCTTATTTTCTCCAAATTTTATCCAGTTGCCATTTGAATCGAAGTATTTATTGTCATTTGACAAAGCATTCTCGATATATATTAATTTTTAGTTGACTACTTCATTAAGTTTTGTTTTCTTTTTCTACCGTTTCTCACGATAAATAAAATCTATGCTTTTTGACATCATTGTCAATTGCTTTTCCAATGAAAATATAAATCTTGACATATTTAAAATTTACACTGAATCTAGCAAAAAAATTTCTTGATTTAAAAATTATGTTGGTTTCCCTGACATTATGATGGGGTCTTCGAAGAGCAGGTCCCACATCGAGTTTGAGTAGAGGATGCATACTTCTCTTTCCAATTCAATTCAATTTATTCACTCAAAACCCTGTAAATGGTACATGAGGTACAGAAACATAGAAAGCTTATATACATATAATACAGAGGGTCTAGCACTAGGTGAGAACAGACAATACTATCAATTTTAGAGATAAAGGTGCATAATTGTTTCAAGGATTCAACATCATTTTGGCACATGACTTCACAAAACTTAATAATATTTGGATAAGACCAAAATTTTTGGTTCAGATAAACTTTCCTTTGTTGGTTTAAAGCACTACATTCTAAAATATAATGATACTCATCTCCTATCTGGTAACTACTGCATAAGCTACAAAATCTTTCATTTCTTTGAGTACCATTCCATCTACCTGTTTCAATCCAAAGGTGGTGATTTGTGGTTCTAAACTTAAAAAAAAAATTCTGAATTTAAATGATAACAGTGTTAAATATTTTTCGCATTTGAATGTATGCTCCTACCTATGAAATGGTCTTTTGTTTTGTTTTTTATGCATCACATCTGTATTGTTTTGTAATTTAATTAAGTTTATCACTATAGTCACTTCTTTATATAACAGAGGAGAGGAAAAGTTTGTAACTTTCTGAACAAATTTAATCTCTTTATGAACCTATAGAAAAGATGATTTATATTCTGGTCGTGCTTTTAAAGTCATAGCCAAAAATTAGCCAAAATTCAGAAATTTAAAAATTCAATATTCCAATTTTTAAAAAATCAGTTTTAAAATGTTTTTTTTATTTCATTGTTTCACCAACATGCAATTTTCAAAACATGTTTGTTAAGTAAATGTAATTTTGAGCTAATTCTGTTTTTATTTTTAAAGCATATTCTTGAAACGATTCTAGAATTAGGTCCATGATGTAAGGACATGTTATTTTGGGTGCCATGGTTTGAACCAACTTGCACTTCCTTGCACACAAATATGCCTAACCATTACCTTTCAAAACTTTCCTTTATTCGAAATGTTCCCAGAGCATTTTCCGTGAAACTCTACAAAATTACCACTATTACATCTCTCAAAACGTGTAAAGCATTCCGTGAATGAAGGAAATATTTATAACATGTACCTATAATATGAAAATAGCATTATGAAAAAAATGTGGTTTGAGCATCCTGTAAGCTTACATTCAGTTCTTAGAATTTTGAAACACATCACATAAAGCTTTATAAACATTGTCACATTTTTTATTTAATATAGCATTCATTGGGAACAGTTGAGGAGGGGGTTGCATATTTTTATTCATTATTTTTCTTAATTGAGACGAAAATTGAAATCTCCAACGTAAAGATGGTAACAACACTGGGAGTATAAAAACTATAAAAATGTCTTCTTCCTCGTGTAAAGTTTCCATTAAAACTTTTATTGGGGCTTTTGTTGTATCAATTACTTCGTACTGTTTCACGTCTTTTAATTGACTTCATCTTCCACAAACAAACTAAATAAATAATAAAATCTAGTTTTTCATATTTAATTAGTCGTAAATCATCGAAAAATATATTGAGCACTTGGATAAATATGTTATATAATCTGTCAAATAAAAATGTTAGAAAATATTTTAATGTTTCCTTCTACTTGTAAAATAAATGTGAAAGGATAAAAATGTCACTTTTCAGGTCAATTGATAATATATCTGTAAAGACTAGCCTCCTGTTGTTACAGTGTAGCACGGAGATGTTTCAATTTCCTGGAACATCTCTTTGTTTGTCATATCCGGTATGCTCTTTGATGGTCTTTGTTTTACCATTAATTTCACTATTTGTGTTAGGAATGTATAGAATACAATGATATTGATAACATTGGGTGAGTTCTATTTAGAGCTTCGAACAATTTATTAGTTGCTTATGTTATCTGTATCCACCAGTTGGGTTTTAGGAGTATTGTTTTTGTTTTAATGGATAACTTGCCTTAATAAGAATGGTGTTATTCTTAAGATGGACATTATTGACACTTTTTTACAGCACTTGTAACTTTAATACTAAGAACTTCATGTTCCTGTGAGCATAATTGGGAACAAGGTATAGAAGGATGCTTGGAAAATGGGAGAAGACCCGTAACTCTTAAAGATTCCTCACTGTTACAGAAGGACACGTGGATTTATGGCGCGAGATTCAAAATTTCTACTGGTTGGTGTATATACTCAGTATATATTATATATTGTGAAATGTTGAGGATATGCTTAGGATATGCTCTAGGTTGCAAGTTCTGTTAGTAAAAAGGTTTAGTTCATCTTTAATTATCTATTATTTATGTTGTTCTGCGACATCATTGGTTTATGTACGTATTATGTTTGAAATGTTTTCACAGGTGGGGTTATAATAATACAGTTGAGGCGAATTGAAGAAAAGAGAGAACCAACATGTAAGATAAACCTATATTTAAAAAGAGATATATTTAGAGATAAGAGAAAGTGATAATTTGACATAATTCCCTCATTCAAAAAATAAAACAACTCTTGTAAACAGGTCATGAGAGAAATTGAAAATGCATGAGATCAAACTAGGTACTTCATGTGAAACATTCAAAAAACTATTAAACGAAGAAATGAAAAGCCATTATTTTTAGTGTGAAAAAGTTGCATTTTAGTTTGTCATTTTTATGTAGTTTACGTAATTTTACGTAAACGGCATGGTATTTAAGAGAAAAAATCATACCTTGCATGATTTTTTTCTTTAAAGTAAGAAAACATTTCTGTGAAATTAGAATGACTTAATAGAGAAAAATATAATTTTTTATGCCAAAACTAGTAACGATCATTATAATGAATCATATTTGAACACAAAAATTATAACTTTAGGTGAAAACAGCTCTGAGAAAGAAAATTCCACGAATAAGATATACATTGTTTTCAATAAGAACAGAACCTCTCTAATAAGAGAACGACAGAAGATGAAGCCCAGAATTCAGTACACCTTGAGTGATGAGAATTTTGATGGTAAAGCTCAAATGAATGTGAACGATTTGCTTGAATAATTAGACATTTTTGAATGTATAATTTATTCTTTATATTCATTTACATATTTTTTAATCATTTACATATTTTATTCTTCTAATGCAGCCCATATGTTATCTATTTTTGACAGATTACCCAGATCCGGATGAGTGCATTATGTACGTTGTCGTTAAAAGACAATTTGAGTTTAGAAACTGCAGTAAAATACAAAGGGTTCAATGCATAAATGGTATTTTTCCTTTTTTATTTTAAAAATGAAACAAAAAACATTAAAGAGAATTGCATATTGTGCATTTTTTTTTTAGCTTACCCCCCCCCCCCCCAACCTTGAAAAAGAAATCTGAATAAAGGCCTGCATGATGATAAAAGATGAACATATTTTTATTCTGGCGTTTGTAATGATAGTATTTCATTAGGTTGATTCAATCAATAAGAAAGTTTTTTTTCGACATTATGAAGAATTTCTGTAATAGTGATATATTGTTGACTGAGGACACTCACTTGCAGTGTTACCTGATCCCACCTTGATTTTAGAGGTTCATGTTTGCTTTGCTCATGTCTTGTATTGTTTGAATGAACTTCTGAGCTTGACTACTGTTTGCATATTATTCATCTAGAAACTAATGAAAAGTATGTTGTGAAAGCGTGTTTTCAAGAGAACCTTGATGGCTTTGACTGTATGCCTGAAATGGAGGAAATGAAATCAACAAAAGCAGGTCAGAATATGTATTTTCTTGAAAATGCTTGAATACGGAAAGCCAACCGTTAAATATTTACATACAATTGAGTTTATGTCTTGTATAAATTTATCCTTTTTGAGATCACGAAAATAAAAAGAAATCATGTATATAATTACATATGAATGGATATTCTGAAATGGGTTGTGTTACTAAAATTTGTTGTAAGTGTGCCTATAAGTTTATATACACTTTAAAGTACAAGATCAATTTTGCGTGAAGTCAATAATATCACTCTATTTATGCGTTTTTAAGACAAACTGTAATTATATGGCCAATTTTTCAGTCAAAATTGCATGATGTGTATCGAAAGATTGTAAGCTTCATTGATATGTTTCATTTAAAAAGTTTTGTTATTTCTCGTGAAATTTTACTTTAAAATTAGCAGGGAAATGTCTCATACCTACTTTATGCCTCAGGAATGGTGTTTGTGAAATCATTCTTCTTGGAGGAATTCTGTTTGTGTACGTCATCTTCAGTTTTATTTGCATAAAGTGGTAAGGAAATTAAAGAAACTAATAAATTCCAATAGATTTAAATTTCTCCTCAACTTTTATTTATTTATCACTGTTTTTTTTCTTTTGAAAATTATAGCTGTACCAAATACCAAGTGAGAAGAATACTAAAGAATAAACGCAGTGAAGATTTCTCAACTAATTTTGTAGATGATCCTAAAACACAGATATATACGTACTCCTACAAAAGGGAACCCGAGGAAAATTGGACAGTTCAAGAAATTAATTATGCTTTTGTAGATTGGGGTACAAGTTTTAAGAATACAAGCGTATAATTCAGAATGTGTATATTTCACAAATAGTGCAATACAAAAAAAACCTGATCAGTATAAATAAAAAGGAGCACTATTAATATTTAATCTGATTTATTTACATCCAGTTCAGGAAATTAGAGATCAAGTTTAATTAACATTGAATCACATGTTTATTATCTAAGTAAATGAAATAAAAAATCATGAATCACTGTGAATAAGTGGTGTTGTAAGGTGCCAATTTATGCTTATTTAATTTGTTGTTTTTATGTTTATGTACATGTATCACATTGAAAATGAATTTATAATTCTCAAGTGTGTTTTACTTTGAATTATCTTACACCACAGGAAAATGAATGATCAACAAATTAAATGATATTGACTTTCCTGTAGTTTTCATTTTTATTGAAAGGTACATATTTATCCATAAAAACATTGACTAATTGCTAGATTCACATAAGTGTATTGAATAATTGAGTCATTAATTAGGAATTGAACGTTTACAATGGATAAATAAATGAATGACGAAAAGTGAGTTTCTAATCTAATGAAATAATTTTTTCCAGATCAATCACCCCAGTGTCATTTCAACACAAATTTATTGTATTAGTATCTTTTCCTGTAAACTTCTAATGTTAAAAGCGTCCATAACGTGTTATCTCCGATGAAATGATGATTTTCCTGCATTTAGGATTATTTATTTATAATTCATAATTAATATATTTAAAAGTATTTCCAATGTCAAGAGGGTTTTGGCGGTTCATTTAAAATATATATTATTTTGTCTCATCATGAACTTTATCCATTTTGCAATCGATAGGAAAAGGAAGTTGACACACTTCAAAAGGAAATTTCATATTGAGGATGGTCTGTTTTCATAATAATTTAAGTAGGGCATTAGCATCACTCCAATAGTCGTATCGCTATCGTTGCTAAATTAACAGTTTTTAATCGTTTAATGTATTTTTCTCGCGCTGATATAACGCCAGGAAATTTTATTATCTAATAAAGGTTAACCTCTTCTTTCAACTGAGCAAAGTCTGATTATACCAAATACTAATATTCACTTCATAAGTTTTGATTCCAAACAGACTTTATATATGTTACAAATGATTGTTCAATTCAATGGCCTATAAAAAAGAAGGCATCTTTCACATATAAGTAGTAAATGCACACTTAGCTAAACTAAAGTTGTCAAATTCGAAAATATTTTTTTAGATTTAATTTTTTAGATTACTCAGAAAGAAAAGTTTTATTTTAAAAAATTCTCTATCAATATGTTACACCACAAAATTTGACAGTTTCTTTAAAGGTAGCTAGAATATTTACAATAGATGTACAGTGTCTTTTTGGAAAAACACAATAAAATAAAGAATTCGCATTGTCATTTTCAACTTTTTAAAACAAAATTTGTATTTTTATAGTAAATAAATCTGGCTATGAGGCGATAAAAATTACATGAGCTTACTTTTAAAATCAGTTCGACGATTTTTATATAGTTCTCTTCGAATTTCTCTTGGAATTTTTTTAAAAACCTTATCTTATATTCATGGCTCCTGTATCTGACTTTATTTTACAAGTACAAAGTTCATTCTTTAAAGCTTTCCTTCGTCATTTCTTTTTATGCTAGCTGCATGGATTTTGTGGTAAATATACAATCCTCCTGGTTCTTGTTATTCTGAGATCAGTAGTGGACCAGGTGAAGTCAAAATTTAGGATTTAAAACTTAACTTTGAGCTTAGATTCTGAGATTTTTAGGTTGGTAGGCCTGAACCATGATAAATCCAATATCAATAGTGGGCACCGATGGGTTAAGTGAAGCGGAAATCTAGGATTTAAGACCGAAATTTGAGCTGAGATTTGGACAATTTGGTCGTCCCAAATCCTGGTACACCCCAGATTAGTAGTAGACACCTGTCCATTCCTCTGAGGGATATCCATCTGTTATATCTACCCCGCATCTCAGCGACATCTGGCGTCTTGTGAAACTACACACCTCCCTCCTCTCCGAGTTACTGGGGGAGAAGATAGGAGGCAGAATCTTTGTTTTATCTAACAACCAATATGTGAACATTTCTCCTTTTCCCTGAAATGTAAAGTGTATTCAATTGCATTCAACTTGGTAGGAAAATTTAAAGTATATACTAAGAAACATAAAGAATCCAATGATCATATAGCAAACTTGGGTTAAAGAGAACTAAGTTTGAATGCAATTCTTTGTTTCGTAAAAGGATTGAAAAAGTTCGGTTGGAAGTAAGCCATATTTGATTTCCAAGGGCGTACATTAAACACTGTCATTTTTTAATATTTATTTCCTCTGTTCGAAATCCAATGTATCTTCTTTTATCTATTATCTTTTCTATCATCTCATAATTTTATTCATTTATAACAAGGCTTTATCATAAACGTGATGACTTGAACTTTGCAATCGTCAGCTTCCTTAATGAGGTTTATATTTCTCAGTAGACTCGATAAGCAAAAGCATGCCTACGTAACGAACACTTTCTTAATCGTGATCAATCACGAATATCATCAGGCTCGTTTGAAGTCATCATTTTACAGTTGTCATTCCAATTGTTTAGTGGTAATTCATGTTATAATACATTTATATAATTGCCCAGGAATCATCACAAGGATCACATGGCGAGTGTAGTCAACAAGGGATGCTCACTCCTCCATGGCACCAGATCCCACCTCCGATGCTTAAGAAGTTCGTGTTTTCTCTGCTCCTTTTTTGTATTCTTTGACTGGACTTTTTGGATGAATAATGCTTGTTATCTTAATATTTTCAATTTTATCTTTCCTGTAAATTTTTTATTATACGAGAGGAATTAATTATCTCGTAATTTCGCGACAAGCACCATTTGCAATTTAAAATTACTAGCTTTTATTTAAGACACTGAAATCAGTGTAAGACCTCTAAATCAACTGTCTACTCGTTAATTATTGTTCTCGCCATTTGGCGCGAAAGAGGCGTTTCGCGACAATAAATGCTTAAGTAAAATAAGGAACCTACAGTATTTCGTATGCAAAACTATACCTTTATTTTTATATTTCCTCTGTCGACCATATCATACCCTCCAAGATTTTGCAACGCAGTCTTTGTATTTTCTGTAATATGTATCTTGCCACCTGCTCAAAAATATTATTGAATTTTAAATCTTTAAAAATACAGAAATTTAGGGAAAATTGTCAATCCTCATCTTTCTGGTTTGTTTTTAAACTTCACACTTTTCTTATTTCAATGATCTAGAATGTTTAAGGTAGAAAGAAAGATAATTCACAAAACGGGGAAGTCCTTAAAAAATAAACATCACCTTCTCCATTAGATTCCATTCTGGAGGCTGTGTTCACGGTATCCCCAAATAGACAGTAGCGTGGCATCGTCTGTCCCACTACACCTTGAAGTGATATAATATAAGAAATAAATAATCAAAGTACTGAAAGTACTGATAAATAAAAATCTAGAGTAGCGTAGCATCATCTGTCCCACTTCACCTAGAAATAAAACAATATAAATATAGATAAATAAAAACATAAAGAATACATAAAGAAACATACAGTAGCGGGGCATCATCTGTCCCATTACACCTAAAAATAAAATATTCTTTGATTATTCTTAATTTGATTACAGAAAGTTTTGCCTTCTAATCAATGAATAGGGTCCATGCTTACTCCCACTAGATACCTCATCCCACCTGAATTTCCGAGAGCTCGGGTTTTATGCCCTGTTCACCTATTGTTTTATTCTTTGTAGAATTCTTGAGATACATCACTGTTTGTTATCTTCATATTTTTTCATTGAAAACAAATAAAACAAAACAAAGCTGCCCGTAATCACTCCTGTGTGCATCATGAATATTTCAGTGTCTCTTAAAATGTCGAATTTAGCTTAACTTTATAAATTTGTTTAAAGAAATCATTTTTATCAAAAGAATACGATAAAACAATCTCTCTCTCTCTCTCTCTCTCTCTCTCTCTCTCTCTCTCTGTCTCAGTGCGCAAACGTATATAACCCACCTGCACAGACCGGTCCAGTGTGCAGACCTATCCTAACCATTACTTTCTGTTCCGGAATAGCCTTTAACTTGAATTGCTTGAGTTGTCCTAGTATGGCTAAAGACATGTTAGCTATCTCGCCACTATGAGCATTACCATTCCTCTCCGGTAAACCACTGACCACCATATAAGCATCACCAATTGTTTCCACCTGTTTATTTGTAAATTCAAGTTTTAATATGTTTCCTTAAATATAAATACATTTAGCTAGAAGTATCCTTTTCGTCTGAATTTATTTGAAGTTTAAATAATTTGATTCTGGTTGTAATATGATTGGATAAAAAATTTACTCTATATTGCATAAAATGGGTTGCCTACGTCACAATGACTTGCGTCAAAAACGTATCAATACGCCTGACGTTACGTTCAAATTTTGTACAAACTGAAGTCATTTTGTTAGAACAATCATCTTTTTTTCTTACATCAAATGAATTAAAATTAAATTATAAACAATGAATTTAATAGCTACCCATCTTATACGGTATAAACTGGATTGGAACAGTTTACGCTTTTTTTATAAACCGCGTAAACTGTCCCAACCCAGTTTATACTGTATAAAATGGGTAGCTAATAAATTCATTCCTTAAATAAATATGCATAGAAATATTGAATATTAGTTCTTTTAAAAATAATCAAATGTTCTCTCATTTAACTACTATTAGATTTTTTAGGAAACGTATGATATTTTGTATCCCATATTTCAATCAAATGGGGAACATTTTCATTAATACTCTACCTTATAAACATCATACGTGGAGATTATGTCGTCAAATAACGTATAAATCTCGTTAAGGAAGTCCACGACATCTAGTGGTGTGATTTTAGAAGCAATGGTTGTAAACCCCACGATGTCTGAAAAGAAGACAGTTACAGCCTCGAACTCTTCTGGGACAACAAATTCACCTCTCTTTAGTTTATCAGCCACTAGCCTAGATGAAAGAAATGAAAAAAATCATTACAGAATGTATTTATTATATGATTCATATTTAGTCTTTTCTGATCTTTGCTATTCTTTTGGATTTTTCATTTAATATTTCGAGTAATATTGCTCTTTTAAAAAGACAAGGAAACATTGATGAACCAAGACAAAAAATGTGTTATTTCCCTGTATTATTGCTGGAAATGTTAAGTAATATTATTTTGCGTTTGATTAAAATATGCAGAATTATATTATCAAAAACAAGTTGTGAACGGGATAATGTTACGCTTATATCAATGAAAGGATATGGAGATAACGAATAGTATTCACTCTTTAAGTCCATAAAACTAAAATTAATAAGAAGAGCAGAACAAACACGGACCTCCGAAACATCAGAGTTGGGATCAGGTGCCATGGAGGAGTGAGCATCTCCTGCTGACCCGTCACACCCGTCGTGTGCTTCTTGTCATGGTAAGGAAATAATGGAAAATCCGTAGACAATTCAGTGTTTAAATTATGGACTAACAATTAGTATGAAAAACGTCAGTCAGCATTTGACTCAATGATAAATTGTATTTGCTGACAAGGTCATTGTATCGACCATAGAACTTACCAAATGATGACCTAAAACAAGACGGCTGATAGTCTTGTTTCATCAACATGCTTGTCAAAAATTTACCTCGTTTTAGATCATAAGTAGAGCAAGCTATTGCATATCGAATGAACTGAGATATATACACTCCGTAAGCGGGTGATGAAGGTATATTGCTGCATGAGTAAGGGAAGTTGACGATAGAAAAGTTAAAGTCATCATGTTTATCATATACCTTGGTTGTTAGATTACCATTAACGTCTTTTTCAAGTAAAATATCCAAGTATGAAACAGATGTGTCCATGTGTGGTATCTTTAATTTCTAGTTCACCAGGATATAATGTATCGATATAGGAATGGAAATTACCAAAGGTAAAAGGAATTTTCGTGAATGCAGCTCGCGAACATTCGCTATCTTGAACAGGCCTCTGGGTAGCATCTTGTTCAATAGACAATCTTTATTTGTAACTTACCTGGGTAACATTCTGTAGAGGAGTCGGTCAGTCTTATCCTTCTCTTCATTCAGGGCCACCGTCCTCTCCTCCACCAGGTCCTCTAGGTTATTGGCGTACTTCTCTAACATCGTGATCATGGAGTCTATTATGTTCACACTCCTATAGAAGACAAACATGAATCATAAACATATACGTCATCACAGAGTCTATGATGTTCACACTCATATAGGAGACAAACAGAAATGAACATACATGTATACCTCATAGACATAGATAGATTCTACTATGTTCACGCTCCTATAGGAGGCATACAAAAATCATGCACATGTATGTTATCATGAAGTCTATTCACGCTCATGTATGAGACAAACGGAAATCATATGTACATACATGTATACGTAATCATGGTGTCTATTATATGTTCACGCTTGTATAGAAGATAAACAGAAATCATGTACATATACTTATATAAAGCTCAAATGTCATCTAGCTGGCATACGATTGAAATCATTTACGTGACCGAATGTTTCAGTTTATGCATCCGCAAAAGAAAAGAAAACAATAGCAATACAACAGTGTTTTTGAAAATTTTCACGATGAATGAAATCTTGAAAAGAAAATTTAAAAATTGCATAAATTATGTTCACACTCCTAACAGAAATCATGTACGATACATGTATTGTGTATATTACTTACAGGATAAAAGTTCCATATTATCCTTCAGAACTAAACAGTCAATCTGATTGCTTCAGAGCATGTCACGTGAGGTGAGACAATTTGTAATGTCTGCCTCACGTGCAGGTTGACAACTACCCTTCAAATGACCATGAAATAGTGCAAGCGAGCATGCAGAATTACAACTGTGTTGTAACCCTTTGAATGAAATCCGTTAGATTAAGCGAGATAACTCTGATTTATGATTACACGTGAACAATAGCTA